GATAGCGACAGACATGACCTCATCAAATGAGAATTTACGCGAACATTCCCCGATGATATGACGATATCAATTCACACGCAAAACTGCTCAAGACATTGAGATAACGGCACTTGATTAGTCGCATACCGTCTAATTGTTATCGTACCTGGTAGCGGTGTGCGGCGCATCCTTGCATGCGATGTGTCGGAGCACGCCAATTTTATGTGTGGCGTGTGCCGTTGACTAAAATAAAATCCAAAAAGAGATGTTTACAGAAAGCTACTTTGCTTGTCACTGAAACCAGCCAAGTGGCCCACTCGCTCTCTCTCTCTCTCTCTCTTCTCTCGATCTCTTGTCTCCCTTTCTCTGTTTCTCTGCGTTGCTCCGGAGATGAAAAGATGTACTGCAATCATTTTTCAACAAAGAACAACAACCGCGCTTGTTTATCATCTGCTTGACTGGGGATGTTCAAATGCGCGAGCACAAATATGATGACGTCGTCAACATTCTGACGTCATCGAAAAAAAGAGACGGAAAATTTCCCGATTCCCACGATCCTGTGTGATTTATATGTTTTTTTATTTTGCTGGTTGTTGCCATTGGGGTGGAAAAAGTGATTTCTCGTGTATGAAATCAGCTTTGCGAAAAAACATCAAAATCGATTTGTGGAATACATTAAAGTCTTCAAAGTCGTTTTGTGGCCAATTTTATGGTGGTCGCAAACACATAGTCACATTTGTAACAGCATGCATTCCAAAGTGTTTTGTTCAGAGCATCGAGACTATGGAATCGAATAGGCAAAGAGCATGCGGCGTCTGACCTTGAAACTTGATGAGGAAATAACCATTAAATGAGTGGCAAATATAACGTCAAGGACAGCAGATAAATTAACCATGCACAAACACTTAGATAATGCAGAAAAAAAAGCCAAGAAATTGCTGAAGGATTTGTAATTAGACAAACATGGCAATAGCCATCGCGTGAAACATTGCCTGCCATCCAGCTCAGTCGAATGGGGCTATTTTGAATGCGACGCGGAGAATGTGTATGTTTACTAGCTGAAAATCACTTGGCATGTGTCGTCATTCTGCCGTCGCTCTTGCCTCTTACCCTCCCTAATTTGACACTATAAATATCGCGTCATAAAAAACACAACTGGCGAGTCTATACCGACTAGCCAGATACCCGTCCTAGTAAGAAACAGTGTAGATAGACTCGCGTGCCAATTGCAACTGTTGGCCATAGGTACTTTGAATCTATTTTGAAAATAGAATTTCAATCGCAAAAACAAACATGTATTTTCAATTTAAATCCTGTCTAAATCCGAAAACGAAGCACACTGTCTGTCGAAAGAGCCCACAATGTAATAGAGCACCATTATTAAATTGGTCGAAAATAGTATGAGGATTAGATGGATTACATTGGTATCGTGCATCATTTGCAACTGTTGCTATATCGACAATGAAGCAAACGGCGTTTTCGTTCTTCTTTTCTGTGAGAGTCGTAAAAGTCAGCCCACGTGGATCAGAAATTTGTAGAAAGGCGATGCTATAATTTGGATGCACCTTCCGATGAATTTTGTCGATAAAATCGATTAGGTTACTTCTTTTGACTGTAATTGGAACAATTCAACCGTGCGCTATGGTAAATAATCACGAGAAACAAGAACGAGATGAACAAAAAAATCGAGAAAAAAACAACAAAACGAAAAGAATAAAAAGAGAAGACGATCGACGACAAAGAAAACAGTCAACAAAACCGGCGATGTGCAAATATTGGATTCATTGACTGCGAAGAGTGGGCGCACATAGCAAAACGCGAAGGAAGCAGCTCATAGGATTTTTGTCGACATATTCATATCAAAGCAAACAACATTTATATAAATACACAATGTAAAAACGATTCCATTTGAAATGCGAATAGAAGAGAGAAAAAAATGTTTCGCGTTTATAAGCGCACAGCTTTTCATTCCTTCCAATAAATAATGCAACGAAAAACAATTGAAATGATTGTCAGTTTCAGCGAGAGAGAGAGAGAGAGAAAGAGAGAGAGAGAGAGAGAGAGAGAGATTGTTCACAATGTGTTCAGCATTATGGCAAAAATGAAATGCGCTTTTTGACTAAAATGTTGCTGTAAAATTGAAGTAAATCGAAGCAATTAGGATGAAAATATTATCTAATTTTGATTTTAATTGATGTATGCTAAATTAAGCGCATTCACTGCACGCCAATAGACGAACGAAAGCACACAATCGCTCGCTCGTTCGCTCACTCACTCAACGGCGAACAAGTTCCGTAATTTAGGAATATTTAATAGTAATTTATGTAAAGAGATTGCAGCTAAAATGTAAATAAATTCAAACAAATTGACTGGGAATTTGCCTGCGAAACCGAAATACGGCTGTTTGTTGTGCTGTGTGTACAACAAGTCCATGCAGTTATTCTCTCACGCCAACCACACAGCATCATCGATGGCAGTCGATGAACGTACGTTATGTGTGTACGGGATTTTCGGTATGCATAAAATTGAACGCATATATGTATTTATGTAAATTTGAATAGAATTTACAAGGAGGCAGAAGAAAAAATAAGCCGCACGAGGTAGAAAAAAGCAACAACAACCGAAACGAAAAGAAAGGAACGTTTCGAATGGAAAGAAAGAGCAAAGGCACTCACTCGACCGCGCGTACACAGAAAGATGCAACGCAAAGAGAGAGAGAGAGAGAGAGAGAGAGAGAGAGAGAGAGAGAGAGAGA